CAGGCACCCCACCACATTTAAAAAATATTTTTGAATAGATCTATTTTCCATGTCTACCAAGAAATAATAAAAAATTTTAGCCAAAAAATTCAGATTTAGTAATCATACAATTTTTAATTACTGTAGTGCCCTTTCTCATTCCCAAAAGTGTCTCCTTTGCATGATAAATTATATGGCTACCCTAAATGGAATGCAGAATAAGGAGACAAGAATATTAAAATCTTGCAGTAACTGTAAAGAGAAACAAGGTTTAATAGGAATTCCAGGGGAGCCTAGGTGGCTTAGTTGGTTAAGCCTTGACTTCAGCTCAAGTCATGATCTTGCAGTCAGCTCAGAGCCTGGAGCCTGCTTTGGATTCTGTGTGTGTCTCTGTTTGCTCCTCTCCCACTTGCACTCTATCTTTCTCTCTCAAAAATAAATAAACATTAAAAATTTTTTTAAAAAAGAAATTCCTAATGAGGAGAATGAAAGAAAAGTCTGAAAGACAGTATTTAAAGTTATTATTGCTAAAAGTTTACCAGTTTTAAAAAATGTATAAAATACCATATTTAGGGCCCTCTAGAGTCTCTCTCTCTGTCCCAAAAATAACTAAACATTAAAAAATTTTTAATAATAATAAAAGTCCTGACTAGCCACATAATAGAAAAATACAGAATATTTAAAAATAATCTTTTTTTATTTTGCAAGAGTGCAAGAGAGCATGCAAGAAAGTGCAAGTCGGGGAGGGACAGAGAGAAACAGAGAGAGCAAATACCTGGTAGGCTCTATGCTCAGCGCAGAGCCCTATGCAGGGCTGCATCTTATAACTGTGAGATCATGACCTGAGCAGAAATCAGGAGTTGGATGTTTAACAACTGAGCCATTCGGGCACCCCTAAAAAGAGATAATCTTAAAACTATCAAAGATACAACAAAAAAGTATAATACTAAAGAATAGCAGTATATTTCTCATCAACAATAATGAAAACCAGAAATAAGAAACTAACAAATCCAAAACAGCTGTCAAACTAGAATTTTTTACCTAGTCAAATTCTTAATAAAATAAGAACAAATTAAAATATATTCAGAAATCCAAAAACTAAGAGAGACTCACTCATAAAGAAACAGTCATCCAAAGATTAATAGAGAGTTGCTGAAAGTTTTTACCAAGAAATACAAGACCAAATCAAAGAGAAGCATTAACTTAGAGGAAATAGTATGTTGGAAGATGAAAACTTCAAAAGACAATTAAAAAACACCTTCATACACGTAGCAAGAGCAGGACATTATTAAAAAGGAACATGAGAGGGGGAGAAAGAGACATATGGAAGTTTAAAATATGATAGTAGAGGCCATGTGTAGCAACATGGATGGACCTTGAGGGTGTTATGCTGAGTGAAATAAGTCAGGCAGAGAAGGACAAATATCATATGTTTGCATGTATAGGAGGATTAGGAGGAACTTAACTGAGGAACAAGGGGGAGAAGAAGGGGGGAAATGGTGGGGGAAAGGGAGAGAGGCAAACCATGAGAGACTCTTGAATGCTGACAAAAACTGAGGACTGATGGATGTGGGGGGGGAGGGATGGGCATGGAGGAGGGCACTTGTGGGGATGAGCACTGGGTGCTATGTGGAAACTAGTTTGACAATAAGCTATTTGTAAAAAGAAATAAATAAATAAAAATTTAAAAAATTATGATAGTAGAAATGAAAACATCCAATGAAATGGTTGGACGAAAAAGTCAAGGAAATCTCTCAGAAATTAGAATAAAATGCTAAAGAGACGAAAAAATGTTAAAGTCCAACCATAAATATTAGAAATTCAGAAAAGAAAGAAGAGAGGAAAAAAGTAAAAGGAATCAATAAATTAAAAATCGACATGCTGCCCAATTGGAAGATGTGATTTTCCAGATTGAAATCCCAGTCCAGTTAGTAAAATAGACATCCAGCAAAAGATATTATCATGAAAATTCAGGATAATGTGGATAAAAATAAGATATTTTTTGACTCCAGAGAAAGAGATGTAAGTTACAGGAAAAGGAACAAAATTGCGATTAGACTCTTCAACAGCAACACCTGCAGGAATTCAATTCACAGCCATACCATTGGTTGGGAAGTTAGAATAAAGATATTTTTGACATGCAAATTTGAAAAAAAATGTATCTCCCATGCACCCTTTCTCAGAATGCTACTGGGGTATGTGCTCCACCAAATTAAGGGATTAAACCAAGAAAACCAGACAACAGGGAATTCACCATAAGACAAAAGAAAAGAGACTCACTAGGATAAAAGAGAAGGGAGAGTCTAAAATGGCAAATGTACACCAGGCCTCCAGAGAACTGGTCCAGTTTGGAGCAGGTAGAATGGGTCAACTAGTTACATCTACAAGATATAGAATATCTGAAATGGCTGAGCATATTGAAAAAAATTTGGAAAATCAAGATCAAAGTTGGAATGAGTTGATGACAAATACATAAAAAACTAAGCAACAATTCTCTTTCAGTTGCTCTAGGGAGAACAAAAATTTGCATATAAAACAAAAAGTAATCACAGGGTATCACATAAGGCTCAACTACAAACTATATTTGCATAGTCAGAGTAATGTAAATATTGGACATTGTATTAACCATTATCATAATATAAACATATGGAAGGCATCAGGGACAGAAGGAATGGTGAGTGTGGCTGTACTAAGCTGCTGTGTGGACAGTGAAATAGAGCTAAGTCCTCATCTTGCATCATGGGAAGTCAAAAGAAAATGACCAAAACTGGGGGAAAAATCAAGAGGTAGCACAATAGGTATGTTATTTAGAGACATGGAGAAAAATATCACATGAAATGGGTAAACGAATTGAAAATGGTTTCTTCTGAAGACGGGGAATGAGCTGGGGAGGGGAAAGTGAACAGGATTATTTTTCTAATAAATAAAATAAAAAGCTATATATAAATACAACTCTTCAAACTATGCACACATTGAATAAAAATGTCTGACTTATTTGTATTACCTTTTCCTCTGTCAGGGTAATCGTTTACAAGATCAGTAACTGAGATTAGCTGTACCAGGAACAAAGAGAGGCTGATTTATGGGCACCTGTACTGAAAACTTGGCCTCATTCATCTGAGTCCTTTACTTAACTATTGCAGTCAACTTGATTATTAACCATCCAGGCTGCCTCAGAGACCTGCTAACCATCCAACATACTATGTCATTAAGAGCACATACCTTTTACAACTGTAATATCTATGGCGCACTTGGGTGGCTCAGTCAGTTCAGCGTCCAACTCTTGATTTTGATTCAGGTCATAGGTTTGTGGGATCAAGCCCTGCGTCGGATCAGGCTCTGCACTGACAGCACAGAACCTGCTTAGAAATCTCTCTCTCTCTCTCTCTCTGACCCTCCCCTGCTCATGTTCTCTCCCGCTCTCTCTCTCTTTCAAAAAAACAAGTAAACTGAAAATAAAAAACCTTAAAAAATTTTAATACCCATAGGCTCTAATCTTTAAAGTTTCTTGAGATAGGATTCCTGTGTTTCACTCTGTAACCCAAGTGCCTGGTATACAATATGTGCTCAAAAAGTTTATTAATATGTACATGTTTTACCCATTCAAAAAAAAAGTTTTAAAGGAAATTGTAAAGGAAAATAGAAACATAAGACAATAGGGGTGCCTGGGTGGTTCAGTCGATTGAGTGACTGACTTCAGCTCAGATCATGATCTCATGGTTTGTGGGTTCGGTCCCCGCATCAGGCTCTGTGCTGACAGCTCAGAGCCTGGAGCCTGTTTTGGATTCTGTGTCTAAGGGTTGCTCTCTTAGAAAACAAGGAAGGATGTTGGGTGGAAGATGACTAAATGGGTGACAGGCATCAAGAAGGGCACTTGTTGGGATGATCACTGACTGAGTGTTACATGTAAGTGATGAATCACTAAATTCTACTCCTAAAATCATTATTCCACTATCTGTTAACTAACCTGGATTTTTTTTAAAAATTAAAAATTAAAAAAAATATATATAAAGCAGCATCTACTCAAGTCCTTCCTAGGCTCCATAATTGAACTAAAACCAACAAGTCCATGGGATCATGACCTGAGCCAAAGTCGGACGTTTGGCCAAATGAGCCACCCAGGCACCCCTAAAAGATTCTTTTTTAAAAAATATTTGTTTGTTTGAGTGAGAGAGAGAGAGAGAGAGAGAGCAAGCAGGGGAGGGGCAGAGAGAGGGAGACAGAGGATCCAAAGCAAGGCTCTGTGCTGATGGTGGAGAGCCTGGTGTGGGGCTTGAACTCACAGACCATGAGATCATGACCTGACCTGAAGTTGGACGCTTGACCGACTGAGCCACCCAGGTGCTCCCATAAGAGACTCTTAAATACAGAGAATAAACTGAGGGTTGCTGGCAGGGTGTTGGGGAGGGGGATGGGCTAAATGGGTGATGGGCATTAAGGGGTGGACTTGGGATGAGCACTAGTTGTTATATGTAAGTGATGAATCACTAAATTCTCTTCCTGAAATCAATATTACACTATATGCTAACTAACTTGGATTTAAATTTTAAAAATAAATAAAAAATTTAAAATAAAAAAAAACCCAACAAGTCCAAATGGACACAAAAGAGGATTATAAAGCAAATCCTTCCATCATTTGCATCTCCAGATTTAGAGCTAATTAATTCTGAGATAAACAAATGGAGTGAATTTGGAAATGATGCCTCAGAGGCTTCCTCCTATGACATGAATAATGGGAGCTATCAAGGATCTATCAAATGCTAGAGAGACATTTTCCTCCAGACACCAAACAGGGGTAACAGCTCAGGATGACTAAAACCTGCAATCCTGCAAATAATGGATTGTCACCATTTCACATCCTCTCAATTTTAGCAGTTACAGGCACTGAATGTATCATTGGTATCATTGAAAATGGGTTCATCATGGCTACAAATGCAGCTGAATGGATTAAAAATAAGGCAGTTTCCAATAAGGCAGAATCCTGTTTTCTTTTTAGAGAAATAGCTCTCTAAAGCTTCATGATGCTAGAAATTACCTTCAGCTCAACATCCCCATATTTTTATAATGAAGACGTTATATATGATACATTCAAAGTTCCATGTTCTTAAATCATTGTAGTCTCTGGTTTGCTGCTGGCTCAGCTTCTTCTACTTCATGAAGGTTGCTGATTTCTCCCACCCCCTTTTCCTCAAGCTGAAATGGAGAATTTCCGGACTGATGCTCTGGCTTCTGTGGCTCTGAGTGTTTATTTCCTTGGGCTACAGTGTGTTCTTCTCCAATGACATCAACACCATGTATCGTAACAATCTTCTATCCCCTCTCCCAACTGCACTAAGAAAAAATACTTCACTCAGACCAATGTGGTCAACCTGGTTCTGCTCTATAACCTGGGGATCTTCATTCCTCTGATCATGTTCATCTTTTCAGCCACCCTGCTGATCATCTCTCTCAAGAGACACACCCTACACATGGAAGGCAATGCCCCTGGGTCCAGGGACCCCAGCATGGAGGCTCACATGGGGGCCATCAAAGCTACCAGCTACATTCTCATTCTCTACATTTCCAATGCAGCTGCTCTATTTCTTTCTTGTTTATATTTCTATTTCTTTATATGTCTAACATCTTTGATACCAATAGTTCCTGGAATATTTTGTGCAAATTCATCATGGCTGCCTACCCTGCTGGTCACTCCATTCTGCTGATTCAGGACAACCCTGGGTTGAGAAGAGTTTGGAAGCAGCTTCAGCCTCAAATTCATCTTCACCTAAAAGTGCAGACTCATGACTGAAACCCGCAGAATACCACAAAAATAGCCCCAACAGCTCTACCTCTCCCTCACCTACCTCCCTCTCCTCTCCTCCCACCTCCTTTCTTCCCCAAACCTGATCTGACTCTTCCACCTGATGTGGTTTTTTTATACATTTTTTCTTTTGCTTCTTGGGCAAAAAGCCTTAGTGATGTTTGACATATTCTTTACCTGAGTCTTCTATTTTACCTCCACTTGCTCTATCTAAAAGCAGTGGTTCTGAGAGGGAAGAGGGCAAGATGGCAGAGAACTGGGGAGCTCCGTACATTTCACTCGTTCCCATATCTCACACAGAGAAGGCCTGAAGCCATAGGAGCCCTTACAGAATCCAGGAGTTTAGGAGGAAAAGGAGACAGAGTCCGCTGAGAAAACCTTATAGCGTGAGTGCGAACTGGGGAAGATAAAATCGGGCTGGGACCGGAGTCACAGAGGGAGGGGGGGATCCCCCTCTGTGGGGAGCTGCAGTGAGTCCAGGGGGGAAAAAAGAGTGGCCAAAACTTCTCAAGACACTGTCCCTGTCGCTGGAGAAGAGAAAAACCTCTGCTTGGGGCACAGAGGGATCCGGTTTCCTGCTCTCCATCTGACTCGTCCCAGGCAACCCCCAGGGAAACTGCTCCCTGAGAGCCAGCTCGACCTGGAGGGGACATGGGGCAGCCACACCTTTGTGCTTCTGGCTCGGCTGGATCCCTAGGAGGGAGGCAAAAGGCTTGTAACTGTTCTAAGAGATTTGCTGCGAGTTTATATTTCGGGCGATGGGACACAGAGGGACCCGGTTTCCTGCTGTCCAGCTGACCCTAGGTGGGATGCACTGGTCCCAGGCGACCCCGGGTGAAACTGCTCCTCACTCGCCAGCTCAACCTGGAGGACGCGGGAGCAGCGGCTTCTGGCTCGATCCCCAGGGGGAAGGCGAGAGGCTTAAAATTGCTCTGAGGGGATGGCCTGTGACTTTATATTTTGGGCAATTTCAATGGGGCACGCGGACTGAGATCTGGAAACAAGGCCTGGCTTGGGATGTAGAGCACGGCCCACCTTGGCAACGCCCCGGCACAGGGAGTTTACACACCCAAAAANGTAAAAGCATCTGAGAAAAAGTATAACTGTCCATAAATGATAAAGGACTTAAAAAATCCATGATTAAAGATCTGATTAGAATTCATTACTATGTAATGGGCAAGGCAATTTGGTTATTGTTGGTCACACATAACATTTTAAGGTAATTACATACCAGGACTTTTCAGATTTATAGGCATTTCATACAATTTCCAGAATACTGACTTTAGTAGTACATATCTACACAAATACAAGAGAGTTTAGTATTATTTACTTGACAAAATTTCCTGTGTAACTTAACTTACCAAGCAAGCCTAATTAGTTTCATATCTCTCTTTTATGATGAAAACAGAATCATTGAAATATTCCAGAGGTCCTCTGGAACATTTCAATTAGCTTATAGTCAGAAGACTTTATTTTACATTTTGATTTTGGGGGGTGCCTGGTTGGTTCAGTTGGAAGAGTGTGTGACTGGATCTCAGGGTAGTGAGTTCAAGCACCATGTTGGCTGTAGAGATAACTTAAAAATAAAATCTTTAGAGGAGAGGAAAGATGGAGGAGAAGTAGGGAGCTCCGTACATTACACTCGCCCCCATCTCTCAAACGGAGAAGGCCTGAAGCCATAGGAACCCTTACAGAATCCAGGAGTTTCAGAGGAAAAGGAGACAGAGTCCACTGAGAAAACCTTATAGCAGCTACTCAAGAAACAAGCCAAAGTACACATGGTAGAGAATTCCAAATACCACTACGAGTAGGGAAATAAAATAACCAAGGTCTCGGCAAGAGACCAAGAGACACCATTCAGAAAACACTTCCTGAACGGACAGGCTCTGGACAGTCAAAGAGCCTTCTTTGGTACAGCAGCACTCGCAGGTGCAAAGTGCATAACAAGCTTCTAAAACTAATAAGAGATAGAAAGCTAACCAAAATGATGAAACAAAAGAGCTCTCCTCCAAAGAAATTCCAGGAAGAATTGACAGCTAAAGAACTACTCAAAACAGATATAAGCAAAATAACTGAACAAGAATTTAGAACAATAGTCATAAAATTAATCGCTGGGCTTGAAAAAGGCATGGAAGACATCAGAGAAACTATTGCTACAAACACTATGGAGCTTAAAAATAGTTGTGATGAATTTTAAAAAATGCTATAAATGAGATGCATAATAAAATGGAGGTGTCCAATGCACGGATTGAAGAGGCAGAAAGGAGAAAAAGTAATTTAGAAGACACAATTATAGAAAAAGAAGAAGCCGATGAGGGGCCTGGGTGGCTTAGTCGGATAAGCGTCCAACTTTTGCTTAGGTCATGATCTCGCGGTTCATGGGTTCGAGCCCAGCATCAGGCTCTGTGCTGACTGCCAGCTCAGAGCCTGGAGCCTGTTTCAGTCTGTGACTCCCTCTCTCTCTGACCCTCCCCTGCTCACACTGTCTCTCTCTCTCTCCTAGAAATAAATAAAACATTTAAAAAAAAAGAAAGAAAGAAAAAGAAGAAGCCGAGAAAAAGAGAGATAAACTGATACAGGAACACGAAAGGAGAATTTGAGAGCTCAGTGACACAATAAATGGAATAATATCCGTATCATAGGAATTCCAGAAGAGGAAGAGAGAGGGAAAGGGGCAGAAGGAGTCCTTAAACAAATTATAGCTGAGAATTTCCCCAATCTGGGGAAGGAAACAGACGTTGAAATCCAAGAGGCACAGAGAACTCCCCTCAGACATAACTTGAATCGATCTCTGCACGACATATCAAAGTGAAACTGGCAAAGTATAAGGACAAAGAGAGAATTCTGAAAGCAGCTAGGGAGAAAAGGGCCCTAACATAAAAAGGGAAACCTATGAGAGTGGTGACAGACCTATCTACTGAGACTTGACAGGCCAGAAAGCAATGGCAGGAAATCTTCAATGTGATGAACAGAAAAAATATGTAGCCAAGAATCCTCTATTCAGCAAGCCTATCATTCAGAATAGAAGGAGAGACAAAAGTCTTTCCAAATAAACAAAAATTGAAAGAATTTGTCACCACTAAACCATCCCTACAAGAAATCCTGAGTGGGACCCTCTGAGGGAAATGTTTAAGGAACACAAGATACCAGAGACACCACCACAAGCATAAATCCCACAAAGGACACGATGACTCTAAACCCATATTTTTCAATAATAACACTGAATGTAAACGTACGAAATGCCCAATCAAAAGACATAGGGTAGCAGAATGGATAAAAAAACAAAATCCATCTATTTGCTGTTTACAAGAAACTCATTTTAGACTGGAGGACACCTTCAGATTGAAAGTAAGGGGATGGAGAAATATCTATCATGCTACAGAAGTCAAAAGAAAGCTGGAGTAGCTATACTGATATCAGACAAGCTGAACTTTAAAGTAAAGACAATAACAAGGGATGAAGAAGGGCATTATATAATAATCACAGAGTCTATCCATCAGGAAGAGCTAGCAATTATAAATGTGTATGAACCGAAAATGGGAGCACCTAATATATAAAACAATTAATCACAAACAGAAACACTCTTATCGATAAGAACGTGCTAATAGCAGGGGACTTTAATACTCCTCTTATAGCAATGGACAGATCAACTAGACAGATAATCAATGAAGACACAATGGACTTAAATGATACATTGGACCAGATGGATTTGACAGATATATTTAGAACTCTACATCCTGAGGCTATAGAATTCACTTTCTTCTCAAGTGTGCATGGCACATTCTCCAAGATAGATCACATACTGGGACATAAAGCAGCCCTCAATAAATATAAAAGAATCGAGATCATACCATGCACACTTTCAGATCACAATGCTTTGAAACTCGAAATCACTCACAGGAAGAAGTCTGGAAAACCTCCAAAAACATGGAGGTTAAAGAACACCTTACTAAAGAACAAATGGGCCAATCAGGCAATTAGAGAAGAAATTAAAAAATATATGGAAACAAAGTAAAATGAAAATACAAATATCCAAACTCTATGGGATGCGGTGAAAGCAGTCCTAAGAGGAAAGTACATTTCACTCCAGGCCTATTTCAAGAGATTAGAAAAAGCACAAGTGCAAAATCTAACAGCACACCAAAAGCAACTAGAGGGAGAGCAACGGGAGCACCCCGACCCAGTAGGAGAAGAGAAATAATAAAAATCAAGGTAGAAATAAACAATATAGAAACCAAAGAAACAGTTGAGCAGATCAGTGAAACCAAGAGTTGGTTTTTTGAAAAAATAAACAAAATTGACAAACCTCTAGCCAGGCTTTTCAAAAAGAAAAGAGAGCACTCAAATAGACAAAATCATGAATGAAAATGGACTTATTACAACCAGCCCCTCAGAAATACAAGCAATTATCAGGGAGTACTATGAAAAACTATATACCAACAAACTGGACAACTTAGAAAAAATGGACAAATTCCTAAACACACACTCACTAACACAATTCACACGGGAAGAGATAGAAAACCTGAACAGTCCCATAACAAGTGAGGAAATCGAATCAGTTATCAAAAAATCTCCCAACAAATAAGAGCCCTGGGCCAGATGGCTTCCCTGGGGAATTCTACCAGACATTTAAAACAGAATTAATACCCATTCTTCTCAAACTATTCCAAAAAATAGAAATCGAAGGAAAACTTCCAGACTCATTTTATGAAGCCAGCATCACTTTGATTCCCAAGCCAGACAGAGACCCAGCAAAAAAGGTGAACTACAGGCCAATATCCTTGATGAATGCAGATGCAAAAATCCTCAACAAGATACTTGCAAATCGAATCCAGCAGCACATAAAAAGAATCATCCACCAAGATCAAGTGGGATTCATTCCTGGGTTACAGGGCTGGTCCAACATTCACAAATCAATCAATGTGATACATCACATCAACAAAAGAAAAGATAAAAACCATAGGATCCTGTCGATAGATGCAGAGAAA